TGTTGAATGATGCGCGTCGTATACATGTTAGACTAGATGACAAGTGACTGGAAATAATAATATTTTTATTTAATGCGTGCGATATTTATTATTATTAAACCATTACTATGACAATGACAATGACTATGACTATGCAATTTGAATTTTGTTACATATATACATAATGTATGCATATTTGCTCGCCGAATGCATTCTATTTAGATATTTGAAAAGTCACGCTTAAATTAGTATTAATGGGGAGGTTTAGGTCCTAATCCCCATATATCGTAATCCAGGAAATAAATATCACTAGTAAAACCAAACTTAAACTCTTTAATCACATCATGATCCTTGTGTTTGTCAAATATTTTCAAATATTCTCCCCTTGAATATTCTCGGGATTTCACAAGAATCGAAAGTGCGGGACGACCTCTCCAACTGTCTAAGAAATTATCTAGGGATTTGAGAGAAAAACTAAATTCATAAAATGCACCAATCTCTCTTAAACTAATTGGTGCCGACCTAATTAATATATTTGACAACCTTTCTCTGGGATCAAAATTTGACCCGTCATGAAATGAATCATCATCATAAATTAATAGTAATACTTTTAATTTTTGACAAGTTTTCAACAACTCTTCGAATTTAATAAAATGACTCTCTGACGGAAAGAACGAAAGTGTCAAAAATTCAATTGAACGACAATTTTCATAAATGGTATAAATAAGGCGAAGCGAATCCTCATAAAAGTTCTCATCATGCATATCAAATTCATTGATTACAATTTTCTTTAGGTTTCCCCTATTGTTTTCAATTATACTAACGATCGTGCTAAGTTTAATATTATGTAATTGAATTTGAAGGATTTCAAGGTTATGAAATTTTGGAAATTCAAGTTCCAAGTGTAATTGAGCGTAACGAGGGTGATCATAATGAAACTTTGTTATGAGGTGAGTAATAGTATCCACCTTTTTCACCAATTCCATTAAAATCCCTTTATAAGAAGCTTCGGTATAAAAATATTCATCTTCGTTCAAGTCCTCTTTCCATTCGAAATATCTTAAATTCGTTTGAACTTCAATTAACTTTATAATTCCATCAAAGGTGTTTAATTCTGTAAAGATGATGATGAGCCTTTGCACTTGATGACAGATTTGTGCTAATCCATAAAGGTACGTGGGGTTAATAGATGTGTCACATACCAATTCGACCAGTGACCCAAGACGAGCCTTCACATCTGGAAGATAATAAATTTGATGACCGATCGATCTCATATAAAGGTACTTGATCTCTGGACATTTCTTCATCAAGAGTTTGTAAATTCCTTGTTGTAAAAAAAATCGATTATGAATTGGACAACTATCAAAGGAAATGATATCGTTTATCACATTTACGTTCACACTCCTGCAGTAGGTCAAGTAGTCAAATAAGGGTGATTTGTGTGAAATTGGAGGTGATCGCATTCCTTGGCTCGTGATATATCTTTTAATATTGTTCGGTAAAAAGGAAGTAATGACGTAACATAATGACCTTTTCTTTTTTTGATAATTTAAATAATTTCCATAATTCCACGGATTCATCCATAAGACCGGGACTACATTCTCACACCAAAGTCTATTAACTAATAAACATGAAAAGAGTGACCTTAAATCATTTGAAACATGTAATTCTTCAAATATCAAGAAAAGGATATCATTATTGAGTTTGGACATTGTAAAAAAAAAAAAAAAAATTTGTGAAAGAAAGAGAAAAAGCAATGATCGACTGAAAATTTTTTTTTATTGTTACAATTCGTTAGCACAAAATTTATTATAGCCAATGAAATTCTTTCATTCAATTTCAATTTACAGTAATTCATTCATGGGAGAGAGTTCATCGGGAAAGATAATCCTCCACAAGATTCAAAACATTTCATCACCAATTTTTTCGAGCGACAAATTTTTTTTTTTAAAAAAAAATTTAATACAATGTAATGCATTAATCGGTACAAAAAAATCAATAATCCCGACGTTATCCGATTTGACGTTTGATTTGATTGGCCAGATCCTTTTTATTATACGATATAAATTATCAATGGGTTGATTCAAGAAATCCAAACTAAAACAGATTGCATTGTTTATTTCATTTTATTTTATTTATTTTGTATTTTAAAAAAAACAATGATTGTATGTATTAAAACTTTTCATCAAATCATATTATTTATAGAATAGAATGCATTTTGGTGATCGTACGTTGAACTTTGTTCCCTGCCACAAATTTGTATTGGTAATTGGTAATGAAAAATATTTAAAAGAAAAAAAAAAAACATTCCAAGTTGAAGAGTGAAGGTTAAGTCATACTCTTGCCAAACTTTATTTATCAAATTCTTGTTGTGAACTGATTTAATAAAAATGTCAAAGCCATGTAAAACCGGGATTACAAAAAAAAAAAATTGTTCCCATGGAAAATCGGAAAATGTATGTTCCGTATTTCGGTAAAAAATCATTTTGGACGATGATCCTTACGAGGAAATCCTCTCTTTTTAATCGTAATCAACCAATAATGATTATTACAATAGGAATTAGGTAGGTAAAATATTAGGGCCCAAGTCCTTTTAATTCTTCATTGAAAGCTGTAGTTTGCATAATTTAATTTGTTTTGTTTATATGAACCTGTTTATTTGATTAGTGGAGCATCTTGTGCTGGTAAAACGGTATGCGAACGTTAATCTTTTTTATTTATTTATTTATTAATTATATTAAAATTGCCTTCATCCAACACAGACATTGGCCATTTGGTTACAGAAAATTTTCCCAAATTCGACAATATTACATCTAGACGATTTTTTCAAGGTACTTGCCCCTTTTTTTAAAAAAATCGTATTTCCTCACCTTTACACCCTAAAAGTTCTAAAAAAAAATTAAAATTAAAATTAAAGAAAAAGGACCAACTTCCAATCGATCCAGAAACAAATCTTGCGAATGGAGAATGTCCTGATGCGATAGATTTTAATTCTTTCATTAGTACACTTTGTGAGTTACGTACATCTGCAAGTCTGGTAAAAACATTTAAATCCAAAAAGGTTCAAATACGTAATAACGTTGAATCTACCGAATTAGATAATTTGACTTTGAAACTAAATGCTAAAGTTCAAAATGTTTTAATGAAAACCGAGAATGAATTGAATTTTGTATTTATCGATGGATTCTTGTTATACGTGAATCCTGATGTTGTCAAACAGTTAGATATC